GTCTGAGTGGAGAAGTGGGCCCCTGGAGGGGTCTTACAGTGTCGCCCTTGCACAGGAGGACTGCCAGCCCACCTCACATCTGCTGCTTACACAGGGACAAAGCTGTGCATCACTCCTCAGAGTTCTGACCGTCACACACTCTTCCCTACCCCTATCCCTGGAAGTGGCCAGGTTCTCTCTGTTTATTGGTCCTACCCATCCTTCAGTGCCCCAGTAGAAACAGTCATAATCATAACTACTATTGAATACAAACTCTTGGCCAGGCATCTTGTTTCATTTTTACACTGACCTTATGAAGTAAATACCATCATCATGCCCATTTTACTGATGAGGAAATAGAGGCTCAGAAAGGTGAATTAATGGGATGCGTGGGTGGCTCAGTCAGTTAAGCATCCAACTGTTGATTTCAACTCCGTTCATGATCTCACCATTCGTGAGTTTGAGCCCTGCATCAGGCTCTGCACTGCCAGTGGGGAGCTTGCTTGGGATTCTCTCTCTCCCTCTCTCTTTGCCCCTGCCCCACCCACTCTCTCTCCCTCCTTCTCAAAATAAATAAACCTAAAAAGAAAGAAAGAGAGAGAGAAAGAGAGAGAGGAAAGGAGGGAGGAAGGGAGGAAGGAAGGTGAGTGAAGTTACCAAAGGCTCCTCACTTGCTTTTCACAGCAGGGGAAGAGGACTCCAACCTAAGTCTGGGTGGCTCTGGGGCCCACGCTCCCCGTGTGTCTGTGCCCCTCTCACCAGCCTGTATGTATTTTGTAGACCTGGTACTGCTGTGCGCTACGTGTCTGCCTTGGGTCAGAGTCCTGGGGGAGGAGCACAGACTGGGTTTTTTCTACCTGAAACCTCAGTCCCCGGCACAGAGGAATTAATAGTGCTTGTTGGAAGATCAAAATGTACCTTTGTCCCTTCTCTGTCCCCTGGCCGTCTCCCTCTCCTCCCAGGCCTTGCAGCAGCCAACACTTGCAATGTGAAGAACCTTCCCTGCGTCCATTCTCAGCTGGGGCTAAGGCTCAGAGGAAGGAACTGGCTTGCGACTTGTCTGTCCCGTAGCTCTCCTCCAAAGGAAGCCCCTCCCCAGCCCGCCTGGGCCCAAAGGGCATGTCCTTAGTCCCTAGAGGAGATAATGCCTTTGTCCCTACTCAGATAAACAAACAAAGCTGCTAGATGTGTAATTCGAGGTGCAGGAGCAGCGTCCCACCCACAGAGATGGGCCTGTCCTTCCTCCCAAGGTCACCAGCAGGAGCCTAAAGATAGCCAGGCCCAGTTAGATGGAAGGGTCAAGCTTAGCCCATTTTGTAGATGGATAAGCAGACCCGGAGCAGGGAAGCCCTGATCCCAGGCCTGCAAGGCCACCAGCAGCTCCCCTGCCTCTTCCCACACAAAAGCACAGAGCCTCAGGGTCACACCGCTCGGGGACACTATTCACAATGCGGTCTCTGTATAGGCACCCCTAGAGTTTTGTGACATGGTGGCCTTTTGGCACAGAGGCGTGCGTGTGCATGCTCACTTCACCACCACTTGTGACTCTGGGCCCCTGTAGACCCTTTGACCTGCCCCATCCCCCTACGGCCGCCCCACACACCCCGGGCACTGTCACATCAGAGTCACAGGAAGCAGGACCAGCAAGTGTGCAAACTGAGAGCCAACATGGGGAAGTTTATTTTCCAAGAATCATCTAAACACATGGGGAGTATTTTTAGCCCCTGGCTCCCACCCAGATGCCAAATGTAAACAGGGGGCCAGAGACGGAGGCCAGAGAGAAGGGCCATCGGGGCCGCAGAGCAGCCAGGGGAGACAGGGTGGGACAGGGTGCTACAGACCCCACCCTACCCTGGTCCAAAGATCTGTCTCTCTGGGAACTGCCACAGGCCAAGAGTGGCAGTGCGAGCCAAGGAGGTGCAGAGAGGCGAGCGACTCCAGGTTCTGACAGGTCCCCGAACCCCTCTCTGTGGCTCAGCATCCTTATCTGTGCAACAGAGAAATAATGCCGCCCTTTATAAGGATTGCAGAGAGGCCCAAGTCTGGCCCTCAGCAGGTAGTCGATGAATGTGTATCATGGTCTGTGCAGGGAGCCAGTAACCTCAAAGAAGTCAAGTGCCAACCAAAACTATCGGGCACGGAGCCCACCTCAGGCCTGGCCAGCTGCAGCGAAGTGTGTGTGTGCGCACGTGTGTCCACACTGTATGTCCGATTCAGTGACTGAGGGATATTGGAAGTAAATGAAAGCAGGGCTGTGGGGAGGGCAGGCAAGGGCTCTCTTTCTGCATAAAGGTGCCCCTGGTGACCCCCTATCGTCTCTGGCCATGTTGTGTCAGAAGCCAGAGTGGGTTGGGCACAAGGAACTCAGAGCGCCGTCTCTAGAAAGGGCTCTGCCCAGGGTGGTGGTGGGACAGCACGGAGAGAGTGAATTTACTCAGAAGAGGAGGCTCTCAAGAACACACAACCCACGAGAGGGATTGCCTGTCAGCCTCCAGGGTGTGGGGGCTAATTCCAGGAATGGCTCCTGCAGTAACTGGCTGGGAATGACCTTGTTATGAATCATGTGCTGGCGGCAACTACTTAGCCTTCAACGCGCAGGGGGAGGCAGGGGGAGGCTTGAGCTCTGGGGCCTGAACAAGCTGTGCCCATTCTGACGCCCCCTGGCTGGGTTTATTATTGTGGGGTCAGGGGGACAGGAGAGGGTCATGTGCCTTCCACAGGGGTTCCCTTAGGTCCCTTGGCGAGAGTTGGGACTTCCGGGTTCTGCTGTCCTGTTTTTCACTGAATCCTGCCTTAAGGGCAGGGACAGGGGTGAGGCTTCATTGGGGAGGGGGCAGTTTGGATTTCTGAGAGCCCTGAGCCTTGGGTGGGTGGGGGCGGGTACAGAAAATCTCAGATCCCCCACAGGCTGCACCGGGAACCAAAAAGAACGGGTTTGGTGCCCACACCCCTCCTGCTGACACACACCACCTGCTGTTGCCATGGTGACCATAACACCACCCCCACGGCTGTGTGGTCACTGGTGAAGGGAGAGGGGTGCTTATTCTTGGTCACGAAGGGAAAGGGGAGGAGGGGCTTCTCCCTATCCCCAGGCTGAGCTGGGAGTGGTCAGGGGCTCTGAGGGTGTCAGGGTGGCAGAGGGCTTAGAGGTCACCTCTGCCAACCAGCTACCCTCCAGAGAGCCACAGTGTGCCTGCCGGGGCTTCTAGCGTGGCATAATGGAATCCCTTGAGTGGCTGAGTAGCTCACAAGTCTTCCTGTGGGCAAGTTCACCGTGTGCAGATGGTAGAGCCTGTGAGAGAGGTTGTCCCCACAGACATGGCCCTGGCCTCCTCTTTACCTAGCAAGGTCCCTTCTCCTCCCCTTCCCCCACCCTCATCTCCTCCAAAATCCAGCCTTGCTCTGGATGATGCCATCCCAGAGCCTGGGGCCCCTCAACTCCTGAGGCTCAGGACCTGTCCATGGGTCCCTTATTTCCGTCTTCCCTAGTTTTCTGTGCCCTCCTGTCCATACCTGCCTCTTCCTGGTCTCACTTGCAAAGTGTCCAGAGAGCTGTCATCCATCAGCTCCTGGATCCCTGCAGCAGCCACCCCTCACTCGTCACCCCTACAGCCCCTGTTTCCCAATGAAGCACATCAGGCTCTAGCTAGCTGTCTCTAGGGGGCTCCCAGCTCTTTCACATGCAAACCAGCATCCTTACAATGTCTCAGTGCAAGCCCCTCCTGCCCCCACCCAGCTGACCTCTCCCTTTTCCCCCCTCCCTTCAGCTCTCTTACACAATTTCTCCCTCCCTCACTCCACTCCAGCTGGCTGGCCTCCCTGCCGTTCCTCTGACAGGCTCCCTCCCCTCCACACATGAGCACCTGCTGGCTTCCCGATGGCAAGTCTGCCCCTGCCTGCTGAGACCTTCCCTCACCGCCTTCCCTTCTTGATATATCCTTCTCCGCAGCTCTTACTGCCTTATGATGCATGCACAGTGTGTATATTTTACTTATAGTGACCCGAACCAGACTGCTGACTCCAGGAGGGCAGGCAGGCATTTGTCTGTCTTCCCTGTCACATCCCCAGTGCCTGGAACATAGATGCTCAAGAAATATTTGGACAAATAGGGGCGCCCGGGTGGCTTAGTCGGTTAAGCGTCCGGCTTTCACTCAGGTCATGATCTCGCGGTGCGTGGGTTCGAGCCCCGCGTCGGGCTCTGTGCTGACTGCCAGTTCAGAGCCTGGAGCCTCTTTCAGAGTCTGTGACTCCCTCTCTCTCTGACCCTCCCCTGCTCATGCTGTCTCTCTCTCTCTCTCTCTCTCTCTCTCCTAGAAATAAATAAAAAACATTAAAAAAAAATTTAAAAAAAAATATTTGGACAAATAAATGAACCCCCCTCTCACCTACCTTGCCTAGGGTATACTACACACAACCGGCACTCTCCACCCCTAGTGCAGAGGAGAAAGTGCTGGGCTGGGGTCTGAGCCACTTCTGCCAGAACCCCCTGTGTGGCCTCCACATAGTCTCCTCTCCTTTCTGAGCCTCTACTTCCCCCATTATACAATGAAGAAGCTGGATTGGAACTTCTCTGGCTTTCTTTTCTTTTCTTTCTTTTTTTTTTTTTTTTAAGTTTTTATTAATTTTGAAAGAGAGCAGGGCGAGGGGGAGAGGCAGAAGGGACAAGGAGAATCCGAAGCAGGCTCCATGCTGTCAGCATAGAGCCTGACACAGAGCTTGACCTCACAATCTGTTAGATCATGACCTGAGCCGAAATTAAGAATCGAAAGCTTAACCAACTGAGCCACGCAGGTTCCTGGAACTTTTCTGGCTTTCACTGTATTGGGACTCAGAGATGTCTTTGCATCTCTCCAAATGGGGTGCAGACAGAGAGTTCAAAAAAGGTGGGAAGGAATGCCCCGTGGTCCTTACTTAGAAGAAGTATCCAGGCCTTCAGGCTCCTACCCTGGAATGGCGGTAGGTTGAGGGGAACAGCACAGAGATAGTCATGGAAACTAAAAACAGATCTCAGAAAGGTTTCTCCAAAAATATATCTGTTTAATCATCAAAATCCAAGCTAGGAAGCCTGAGGAATGGAGGCCCCAGGCCTCTACAGCCTGAGAGCAGAGGTCAAGTGTCCAGAAGCGAGCTATCATGCAAGGAACCCAGCCAACAGGCACGTGAGCGTGGGGACGAGCAGGGTTGGCAAGGGTAAGGGCAGCAGCTGTCCTGGGGCCCGAGACTTGTACACCAGGCGCTGTCCCTGGCGCTGCAGGGGCCTGACATTATCTGTCATTTTCAGTTTCTGCTCCGAGTCATAGTAGAGCTTCTTGGAGAATGCAGCAATCTGTAGAAGGGGCATAGCTCAGCAGCGAGCAGGGAGCAAGCAGAGCTGCATTCCCAGCTGTGCGACCCCAAGCCAGTCACCTCGCCTCTCTGAGCCCTCATTAGTAAAGAGGGTCAGAATCTCTAACTCTCAGGGTTTTGTGCAGATGAAAAGAAAAAGGGATATAGAGTGCCTGGCACTGGTGTGGGCTTAGTTTCCATTAGCTTCCCTTACCGGGGAAACTAAGGATACACGGCTCACAGTTTTGCAGGCTCACAATCACTGCTGTATTATCACTGTTACTATAGAACAGTGGTTCTCAGACTTGAGTGTACAGTAGCATCACAGTTGCGGGGTGGGGGGTTGGGGGGGACGAGGAGGGTGCTTGTTGGGCCTCACACTGCCAGGCCCCATCCCCAGAGTTTTCAATTCAGCAGGACTGGGGTGAGGCCCAAGAATTGGAATGTCAAGCAACTTCCCAGATGATGTTGATGCCACTGGTCCAGGGACCACTCTTTGAGAACCACTGTTCTGCAATGCAAGTATCACTAGAGCAGGGATTTAGGCCCTTTGGTTCACCCTTATATCCCCGGAGCCTAGTGTGTTATAAGGACCCAAGCACCATTTGTTGAATGAATGGACTTTTTCCTACTGTGGCTATCCTGACCCTCTCTCAGCTGCTCCTGGCCAGCCTTGGGGCCTCCCTTAAGCTGACCCCTCTCTTCAGGACACTGTCTTCCTGCCCTCAGCTGCACAACTCCCACCTACTTATAGGGGACAGCATGGGAGCCTTTTCTGACCTCCTCCACCATAGCCTCCCCTCCAGCCTTTAACCCAGGGGATGGGATAGGCAAGACCTATCTTGTTTGTCTGCCCCTCAGGGAGTGTCTCTGGACTGAGCCAACAGTACCTCACCTCCCTGGAGGTGACCCCAATCCCCACCCCAATCCAGGGTGCCTCTGTGGGGATCCAGAGGGATGGTTTCTGGGGAACTGGGCAGTGGGGGGCCACACCCTTGGCTGAGCCCTAAGTACCTGCTCCTTGTGGAGCTTAATGTGCTCTTGGAACACAGTCCAGACAACCTTCTCGTCACAGCCTGGAGTGGTGAGTGAGCCCAGGTAGCGGAAGTAGTGCCTCAGTGTCTCCTTCTTGGGAAGTAGGTCAAATAGGCTGATGCTGTCGTTCATTGTGGTGTTCATATCTGGGACAGAGGTAGGAACAGAGGATGCTGTCAATTGGTGGGAGAAGCAGGGGATCCCTGGGAGCCCAGGTCACTGCATCACCCCAGCCCTTCCTTTGTAGGAAGAAGTCTCCTCTCTTCCCTTCACCCCCAGACACTCACTGGGTCTGGGGACATATGACAGCGCCTCCACCAGAGGCTGGAAGCCATGATTTTCCTCAGATCCAGCCTAGAACAGAAGAAAAGGGGGCTTGAACAGGGACATGTGGAGAGCCAGGAGTGACCACCAGCCCATTCTTCTGGTCTGTGGAGGGGAGGGCAGGCAGCTTCTGGAACTGAGGCCCTGAGAGGCTCTGGGCTCCCCACCTGGGGGTATAGAAGCCACTGAGAAACAGAGGGACTTGCTGGAATCCTAAATCTCTGGATACTAAGAAGCAGCCTCTCAGACCCTGGGGGGATGAAGGCCTTACCTCCACAAAGAAGGCCAGCACCGCAATCTCATCTTTGGGATCCTGAGCCTGTTTCTCGTTCCTCGATGTTCCCTTCACTTTCTCATGTACTATGTGCATCTAGTGGGGAGTGAGAGGAATGGAGAGAGGGCCTATGAGGGGGTTGGACCACCCAACTTGCCACAGGCAGGTCCACCCAGAGCCCAGCAAGGGCACCGGCCCAGGAAGGGTACTCACCTCCATGGCATACCGAACCCCATTGAGGGTGTGCTCTGAGCCCTCATCCAGCCTCTCTGACCAGTGCAGGTGCAGCTGCTTGGCCCGGTACTGGGCAGCCAGTCCTCCTCCAGTGACCGAGGCCTCATCCTCCAGCAATACCATCACTGGAGGGCACAAGAGGGGACAGAGTTCTCGCACTCGCCTCCTCTAGCCTGTCCTTGTTCCACCCAGGCAGAACCTTCTCTCCTACCTGTGACCCTTCATAGGCTACAGGCCTGGGCCTATGCGGATAGGATGGGATGGGACAGGTGGTACAGCTCAGATTTTTCGCTGGCCCCTTATTGGCCTCTTTGCCTGCCTCTCCCTCTGCACATCCCCACTGCCCCAAACATGCAACTGGCCCCTGGTGCCTGGTGTCCTCAAAGGAATGTCCAAAACTCTTCAGTCCTGGGTCACCTGCCACTGGGCCCAGGTTGGCCAGCCCTGGTCTGACTCTGACCCCTCCTAGCTTTGCTCTCTGTCCACCAGGCACATGGAGCCACACACAGTTCCCTGAACACCCCAAGCCATTTCACACCTCTGTGCCATTGCATATATTGTTCCTTCTTCCTAGAACGTTGTCCTTCCCCTACGCCAGACTGGTCTGAATAAAGTATCGAAAATACTATGAAGTGTTCCCTCCTTTCTAAGGCCCTTCCTGTTTCCCCCTGCCCTCCCACTGCTGGGCTTTGCAGCCCCTCCTCAGCAAAGGTGGGTCTGCCCCTAGTGGTCCCTGGAGGAGCCCACCCCTCCCAGTCCTCTGGAACTCAGGGGTCCCTGGACCAGGAGCCCATGCCTGCCCAGGTCCCCTATCCCACCTGCCTGAGACCCACCTGAATGCCCATTGTTTTGGACTTTCCACTTTCGCTTCTTGTCATAGCCAGAGAAGGAGAAAGATCCCAGGCTTGGGTCTATCTGTGCCTCAGGAGTGACAATATTGATGGGGGACTGGCGGCTCTTCTGGCAGTTTCCACCCCATTGGCTAGGCCCTGAGCAGGTAGAGAGGGTGGGCAGAGAGTCAGGGGAACATAGCACCTCCTTAAGTTCACAGAGGGAAATGGGAAGGTGATTGGAAGCTGTGCAGAGGAGTCTCCTGGAAGGGGGCTTAGGAAAGGACTAATGCTGACTAATGTCAAGCATTATCTGAGGGCCAAGAGTCCGGGAAGCAGCCCTGGGGGAGGCTGATTCCCTGTAGCCAGGTGATGGGGTCTTGGAAATGGGGCAGCACCATTCAGCCACTGAAAAATAGTATAGACCAGAGGAAAGCAGACTGTGGAGACATGGATCAACATTTGGGGGAAAAATTTCAAAGGACAACCTCCCAGGTCCACCCAAAGAGTTGAAACAGAACCAATTCTTCATTTTGTTATAAGAGCAAAATGTGAGGCACCTGGCTGGCTCAGTCAGTGGAATATGTGACCTTAGATCTCAGGGTTGTGAGTTCAAGCCCTACACTGGGTGTGGAGCCTACTTTAAAAAAAAAAGAGCCAAAGATATCTCTACATACGATGCTATTGCTGATTTATTTGATAGAAGACTTATCCTCTTAGTGATGGAAGATGCCAGAGACAATTCAGGTCACTCTACACTCCCTGTCCCTTGAGCATCAGGACTGTGTGTGTTTGTGCGTGTGTGTGTGTGTGTGTGTGTATGAAGAACTGATACCTGACTAAGGGGCCATCATTACCCTTATCCTTACCACCTTCTCTGGGTCTTCATTTTGACTCGGGCAGTCCCTATCACACAGAGAGGCCTGTCCTTAAGACTTGTTATACTTACCCAAGCAAGCAGAGTTGGGGTGCTTGGCTTGAATCTCGTAGCACCAGTGTGACTCTGAAGTAGAGAGAGGAAGCATATGAAGTCATGTCAATGTATTCGTGTACACATATGTCTCTAGGAATGCACTTGAGCTCTGTAAGCACAAGCAACACTGTGTGTGTGTGCATGCGTGAGCACACTAGTGCACACATGCATGTACGCATGTGCATGCGCACGCAATGAATCAGAGGCTAGGAATATCCATGGAGTCAGAGACCCCTTTGGGTTGGGATGGAGCATTCCTGGATTCTGGGACAGAGGGCCCAAAGGAAGGAGGCTTAAGAAAATATAGGGATGAGGTAGAGGTGGTAGAAGCAGCCAGGCCCCAGGTGTCCTGACCCACGGCACATCATGCCCAGGCCACTGTTCCTCAGGCAAAACAGTCACCCCTTGAGGGCCTTGGGTGACTTGGGGGCCCACCAGCTCTATCCCAGGGGCTGGCCTCCATGGTCTCCTCCAGTTGCTATCAGTCCCCTCCTCCCCTGCATCTCCCACCCTAAACCTGGAAGGGTGTTTCTGGCAAGAGCACAGGAGGAGGATTAGGCCCAGTCTCCCTTCCTGGGGCAATAGAGCCAGGTTCAGCCTGGCCGCCTTCCCAGAGTCATCCAGATGATGGAGGAAATTAGACTAGCCCCTCCCTGGAACACACACCCTCTTGTGTTATTAAGACTCGTTCTGGGCTAAACTCTCACAGCCCACCGGGGAACGTAGTCAGGCCTTTTCTCCTGTCCCATCACCCCACAATCCCGGTTCATGGGGCCAGATTCAGGTTCTAATCCCAGCTCTGGTTCAAGACTGTAAAACCAGCATCTCTGAAAAGAGGCTGCGCTACAAACCTACCACACTAAATGCAAGATGTCACCAACAGGGGAAACTGCAAGGACAGAGAGGGCACATGGAACCCTCTGTGCTTTCTGCTCAGTTTTTCTGTAAACCTAAAACTGTATAGTTTATTGATTACACACACACACACACACACACACACAAGGCTGCAGCGGTAGGGTGGACAAAACATTTGATCCAGAGCTGGAATTCTGGCTGGGCCACTTAGGAGCTGTAGGTTTAGGGGCAAGTCACCTAATCTCTCAACCTCAGTTTTATCATCTGTCAAATGGAGCTAATACCATCCACCTCACTGGGCTGTGGGAGGATTAAACGAGAGATGGTAGAGTACCCCAGGCAGCCTAGAACATAGTAAACTCCCTAATGAGTCCTTCCCTTCCCTGGCCTCCCTCCCTCTGGCCTCAGATCAGTGCACAGATGGCCAAAGCCAAGGCTGGGTAGAGAGGAGACAAATGAAGTGAGCTGGAAAGAACTCAGGGATGATAAAATTCCTAAGAAAAGCACAGCTTCCCACTCAGCCTGAGCTAAGGTCTCTGAGCTCATCCACCCCCTTCTTGCCAGGCTGCCTCCATCTACCCCACCTCCTCTGGAGTCCCTGGAATGGGGATGCAGTGAGGAGGGAGCAGGGAGGAGGTCAAGTTCTTGGCAGGGGGAGGAAGGAGGGGCTTCAGGCCAGGAGAGTGAGCATCCATAGAAAACAGGGCACCTTCTCACTCCAGGCTCCTCAGAGTCACCTAGGGTTTTTGTTTCCCAACTCTGGGCCAAAGCTGGCTCAGCCTCATTCAGAGTCTGACAGTCTCTGCAGTGTCTTCCCCACAACAATCCATCCCCTGCCCTGGACTGGGCTCTGCTGTCGCCGGGGATTGCTGCATCTGAGGAACCCGCGTGTGGGTCAACTCTGCAAGGAACTGTGGCCACTTTCCACCCCTCTCTGCAGGTGGATAGAACTCTGAAGTTGGAACCTGTGCACCTGGCCTCAGTCTTGGCTCTGCCTCTTACTTAATCTCTGCAGAAGAGTTCATTAACTTTTCTCAGCCCTCCATTCTTCCTCAGGCAGAACAAACTGCTACAAAACACCCAGGACTTTGGTCAGTGTCTAAGGAGACATTGAATGACATGGAAGGTCATTCACACCCATGGAAGGCTCCTTGTTATAATTATCCTATGTCTTGGGGCACCTGGGTGGCTCAGTCGGTTAAGCATACAACTTTGGCTCGGGTCATGATCTCACTGCTCATGAGTTTGAGCCCCACATCGGGATCTGTGCTGACAGCTCAGAGCCTGGAGCCTGCATCAGATTCTGTGTCTCCCTCTCTCTCTACCCCTCCCCCACTTGCTCTCTCTCTCTCTCTCAAAAATAAACAAACATTAAAAAAATTTTTTAAATTTCTCCTATGTCTTCCCCTCTCAAAAGTTCTGAAGGCAGGAGGGGCTTCCAAGGTTGTCTGGAGGCCTAAGGGGAAGCCATTCCAGGGGAATCCTTGCTTAAATCAGAGTCTTGAATGGCAGAACCCCCCTCAGCCTCCCCAGGCTCCATCTGATTCACACTGAGCCTTTCTTAGGAATTTGCTATTCTCCTAAATCTGGCTACGGCTCCTGGTTTTGTAATGGTGACCTTTGATCCACTGTCTTAATCATGGAGACTTTTGCCCTGTTTGGCTGAATGCTCTTGTAACTACCCTCTTCTGGAAATAAGAACCAGGAAAACATAATGTTGATGAGGCCAGGGGTCAGGTCTATGTTCGTGGGCTGAGGGGAGGGACCTTCAGGCAAGAGGTGGCAGGGTCACAAACCAGCTCAAGTTCTATATTCATTCACGAGAGGGCTGCCCTTGCAAATAATTACAAGCCTGTTGCCTCAGTCCGTCTCTGCAGGGCAAGAGAGGCACCCCACAGACAGATCTTGGCTCCAAGCTCCAGGTTCTACCTAGGTGACCTGCTCTGACCAGGGATGCAGTAATAGACATAATCACCATCACCAATCACCCAGCCACTGCCCCCTACCCTTGACTTGCCTGCCACCCATCTCCTTTCTTTAGAGGTGACCAAAGAAGTTCTCTGATGGACCTTGCTCAAGCTACCCTCTCACTCTGTGGGGAAGGAAGAGTCCTGGAAACCAGCTCAGCAAAAAACCCAAGTATGTCCTGGCAAAGTCTCAGCAATTCCTGGCCAGGGTTCTGGGGCTCAGAAGAAGCCTATGATCCTCTCTGCTTCTTCACCTTCCACGGCAGCAGATAGTCTGGGGAGTCTCATGTGGAGCCTCTTCACTCACCAGCCTCAAGTGTCCAAGGGGATGAAATGGGTGGAGGAAGGCAGGTCCCAAGACAGTTCCCAGTCAAAAAGTCCCAGCACTTAAGGAGAGCACAGCTTGCAGGAAGGGGCAGCTGAGACAGATTCCTGGCTGGCTGGTCCCAGGCAGTGGTAGAGCCATCACAGGTCATCATGTCTGGGGTGTCTGCCACGTGCCACGCAGGCACTGCACTAAGTACTTATACCCATTATCTTATTTGAATCCTTAAAACACCTAAAGTCAGAATCTATACTATCCCTATATTGTAAATGAGAAAATTGAGATTAAGTGATTTACCCACCACCACACAGCTACAAAACAACAGAATTAATTGCAAAGTGTTTCTTTTTTCCTTTTTCTACTAAGCTCACTTAAGTAGGTTTCAAACTCCAACTTTACATAGAAATTTTTTCACATCCTGTCTTTTCTCTTTTCTCCTCTCCTAGAAAGAAGCCAGCAGTTTCTGCAAGATTCCCCTCATCCCTCCCTCCCCCAATACCACACACACACACACACACACACACGTGCAACTAGCCAGCTAAATCTTTCCTGCAAAGGGCACACAGTCTCTCCTTCTCTGCTCTTGAGGGCACCCTCACCACTCACTCCAGGACTCCAGGAGAGGAGTTTTGGAGGGAAAGTCTGGCTGGGTGAACCCCTATGGGGACTATCGGAGGGGTAGCTGAGCTGGCGACTGGCAGATGGGGGCTTCCTGAAAAGGAGATGGGCCCCCGTGGGGCCTCAGAGATGATGCCTCCCCGGATCCCTGTGCCCAGCCTCGCGGCTGGAGGTACTTTCAGCTCCTTATCAAATATTAACACACCTCCCGCCACCTCCCACCTAGGCGAATAATTAAGAGCTCGGCCACACATTAATCTTTACATGAAAATCACCCTGGCCGGAAAGACCGGCTTGGCCAGGGCCTCGGGTGTCCTAGTGCCTCCGACCTGCAGGCTCCCAGTATAGCGCTGGGGGCTGGGGAAGTGAAGGGGGCCGGCAGCTTCAGGCGATAAGGAACCCAGGGTAGGAAGCGGGGATACCGGGGACCCACCGCACGCAATCTGTCGCCCGTGCTCAGGGAGGGGGACAGCGACTCAGCACCAAGCCCCGGCGGGACGGACTGCGACCGTATGAGGAGCAAAGGCGCACGCAGCTCCAGAAAGGGCAAGAACGGCTGCGGGCGTCCCGGCGGGTGGGAGAAGCATCCTCATCACTGACTGTCACGCTCGCGGGGCCGAGGGTCCACAGAGCCCCGCGCGCACCCCGCAGCCCTGCACACCCGTGCACACGCCAGCCCCGCAGCCGCACTTGGCCGTTCGTGTGCGCCGATGGGCTCGCGCCCGCCCCATTCGCTCGCGCCGTCGCCGCGGCGGTGCCCCGGCAGCCCAAGCCCGAAAGGCGCCCAGTGTCGAGTGCAGTGGGGCTGGGGGTGATGAGGGGCGGGCTGGGAGCCCGCGCATTCACCTGCGCAGGCCGAGGGCCGGGCAGCGACGAGGACCAGGAGCACAGGCAGCAGCCGCATCCCGCACAGAAGCAGACACGCCGCCGAGCCGGTGGGCGCGCGCCGAGGAGGCTTCCGGGGGTGCAGTGATCATGCCGGCGCGGGTTTTATAGCGGAGCTGCTACGGGAGGTAGCCCCGACAGCCGGACGCGGATAGCGGCTCCTCCCCCTGGCGGAGCCTCCCCTCCCCGCGTCCTGTCCCGGCGCTGAAATCCTCAGCTCCCCTCTCCCGGCTCTCCTACCCCCTGCCGAGCCACCTTGTGCCTTGTGCCCGGAACCACCCTCTTCCCCCCTGCACCAGCTCCTCTCCTCTCCACCCCGAGGTCGCGCCGTCCGCGCTCTATCCCCAGCCCCCAGCCCACACCTGGTCTCGGGTTTGGGAACAGGGCGGTGACTTCGCGAGGTACTTACTCGACCCAACGGTGGGTGCCCGGATTCCTGCCTTTGATCATTTCGGCCTGGACCCCTGCGCAGCCCTCTCGCCTCGGAAGCAGTTCGCTGGGGCCTTGGAATGGGCTTGGGTTGGGGTGGGCAGGTGTACATAGCCTCGGAAGCATGGTGGAGTTGAGGGATGTCCTCCTCTTCGGTGTCCTAAGAAAGAGGGCTTGCTTTTCTCAGTCAGTGATCGCTGACACCGTGGGTATCATCTCTTTTCTGTTTTCTCCTAAGCTGCTCCATTTAATTTCTAAGGAGACCAAAGATGCTTCTTCCGACACAGAGTGGATATGTCCCTAAATTGCTGTGTGAGTGTTTTTGTGATGGCCAGAGCAGGGGTGCGTGAGGCGGCAGAACTGAGAAGTAGATTCCAAGGGCTCAATGAGAGAGAAGCTTATGGGGTCAGAGGGACTGCGGCTGGCTCCGCTTGAGGCCCCCAAACCCCTCAGATGAGATGGGAAGAGAAAAGACAGGAGCCTGAATGAAACTTTAGTTTACTTGTCTGTCGAGATCTTCAGAGGAGTCCAGGGAAAGGAAAGTTTTCTTGAAGGAACAGGGCTGAGGGCCACCGTAGAGGAAGCCGCCTCTTGTCCCAGGAGGGGTTCTCCCTCTCCTGGCTGTGGCCCCACTGCTGCAATGCCTCTGGACCCCTTGATGGCTCTAGGCACTGTGCGTCCCACGCCTGGTGGGGGCTTCCGTGGGAGTTTGAAAAGCTCAGACTTGGGTACGGAAGAGGGACAGGGAACCAAGCAGTGGGCCTTGTCCCCCTTCATCAACAGGAAGCCCCTGTTTTCTGGTCTAGTCGCTTCCCCATCCGCTGCCAACCTCTCAGCCCCCACCGGCCTTTGAACCTAGGCTAGGGACCTCTGAAGAGGCATTGCCTCCCCTAGAACTATACAGGCCAAGGGGCTTCCTCCTTGGTTAGAGCCCCGGCTCTAATCACCACTCCCCACTCCTGGCCCAGGATCACACAGCCTCAAGGAGCAGCTTTGATCCTACAGAGATGGGAGGGGGCGTCCACATCAGGATTAGGGCTCTATTGTCCACACTGCTTTAGAATTTAATCAGCAACAAGGACCATGGCAGCCAGAGGAGGGATTCCACACCCTGGGGCTTTTTCTGGGGAGTGGATTTATGTCCATAGGGCTATAAAAATATATCTTTCAAGACGGAGGAATGGAGTGGAAAGGAATCCTATTCTGGGGAACGAAATCTACTTCAGGGGTTTCCTGTGACCCCAGGCCACCCCCCTGACTGGCAGGAGAGACTGTGGAAACCTTTGGTGGGGTTAAGGGCTACTGATCGCCTTCAAAGTCCATTCCATTGGGACCTCCCAGGGGAGAAGAGTGTGGGTGGGAGAGCTACCCCACAGGTAATTCTACTCCACACTTTTGAGTGCACCCCCTAGGATGCTGGGGCCAGCAAGATAGGAGGAGAACCAGGCCTTGGTGTGGTGTCCTCTCTGAGGCATGGGGCATGCATGGAAAGAAGTTAAGTATCCGCACATCCTCACGGATGTGCCTTAATCATGGGCACCCCAAAGGCTCTACATTTGCAATGTGGGAAGTCAGGTGGTTGCTCCTTCTCTATATGTCATCTCGCCAAGGTTACACAGGTCAGGAGCCCCCCCCCCCCCACTTCTAGTCTTAACATTCCCAGCCTTATCTCCCAGCCTAGACCCCTGGCCTGGCTTGCCATAAACTAGTCACTTGTCACTATCTAGGCCGAGGGCCTTGTTGCCCTGAAGAGGACAAAGCCCTCATTCAAGCAGGGATCATTAGAGCAGGGATGGGCCCTGACGCATCTCAGTGACTTACAGGATCCATAAAGCTGCCAGCCCAGACCCACCAGCCCCAGCCTGGCACTGGCTCCTTCCTCTTATTCTACCCAGGGTCCTGCATTCAGGTTTCTGCTCTTCCTCTAACTCAGGGATGGCCTTGGGCAACTTTCCTACACCTCTGTGATTGCAACTTCCTCATCTATAAAGTGGGGATGATGATCTCTACCCTGATGACCTCTGTCAATAAACAGTTATTGGAAACCAGCTGTGAGCCAGCGCCTGCCCAGCCCAGACTTTCACAACCTGCCTCACGGGTCTTGGGTGTAGCCATTGACTCCTGGCAGGTGCAGACATGAATTACGATTGTCATCCTCTGGGGATGTTCACTCACATGGCCCTACAGCAGGACAGAGGCAGTGGGAAAGCTAAAGGTTTTGAGGGCAGACAACCCTGGGATCACTTCTGGCTTGACACACATATTCTGTGGGGTCAGTTGAGCCTCAGTTCCCTTTTCTGTAAAATAAAAATCATATCCTATCTTCTTCATAGGTTGTTGTGAGAATTCTGTGACCTAAGCCTGAGGTAGGCTGGCCTGGGCTAGCACATTAGCACCTCTAAATGGAGGTCCCTTTACCTGGATTAAACTTGAACCTAGGCAGATGTGGATGTGGCATCAGGTGGGAGGGGAAATCCAGGTTCTTCCTGGACTCCCAAGACCTAGGGAGGAGTGAGGAAGACTGAGGAGCAAGAGGAAGGCCCCAAATGCATGGCCCCAAGAATGTGAGACTTGGATTCAGCCCTTGCTGGTACTCTGATTGGCATGGGATGGAAGCTCAGGGAGCAAGAATACTGTATTCCTGGTGTTAATAGGTCAGAGGAAGGCTTAATACATACCCCTGAAGAGAAAACTATCATACTTATGTTCAGGCGATAAGGTGGACAGAGTATAGGCAGAAACTTAGAATAGGCTTTGGGAAACACTGCTCTGTGTTCACATCCCAACCCCAGCCCTCAGGCTCAAAGTCCCGATCAAGAAAACGGGGATGAAGACAGCACCTCCCTCACATGGTATCATTAGGATCCAATTATGTGATCCTGGGTAAAGAGTCTGGTAGAGGCCTAGGCACTTAGTAAGGGTTCAATAAACCTCAGGGGCAAAAATAGACTATGACCTTGCTATTATAGGAGCCCAGGGGAGTGGTACTTAACCCACCCAGTGGGTGGAAAATTAGAGAAGACTTCCTGGAGGAGGCCCAAGCTGAGTTTTAGAAGGTAAGTAGCTGTTAACCCAAAATGGGAAGGGAAATCCAGCTGGAGGGAACAGAATGAGAAGAGGCATAGAGTGGGATGGATAATCACCGAGTGAGAAGTGAGGATGCCAAGAGATGGGATTGGAGAGGCATTTGGCATCAGATGGATAGGACTTATTTGTTGGTGTTAGAAGGTTGGGCTGATACTTCCTTTGATGAGGGGCATGTATCAAGACCCTGATTTTCTGGGCCAAGAAACCTCTTCAGAGAGGATTGCTTGGCCCTAGAAAGGGACAGGGACCCTTAATAACTTATTTGAGTTACAAAAGAGGAAGCTGAGACTTGGAGAGGGCAGTGACTCACCCAAGTTGCCCAGCAAAGAGAACACAGAGCTGAGGTTTGAACCTTTCCATGCCATTTGATCCCTTCCCCTCAACACACACATCTTCCTCCCATTGAGATCCCTAATCTCCATCTCCCCTTGCTTTCTGCACCCTAAGGGGCTCTCTGATTAGCAGATGATTCAAAGAAATGTTTGCAGAGACTCCAGGATGTTGAGATGAAACTCACATGCAGGACAAGGTTTAATCAGTACCCTGCTTTCCAGCCCTCCCCAACCTGGATCTCTGCCATATTCTAGCAGAGACAAGAAATCTCCTTTCCTGCCAGCATCTGTGAAAACTGTAGTTCCTTTTTCCTTGTCTTCATGCCTACCCTATTTCTCTGGTATGTAGAGATAATCCTGGGGAAGCAAGAAGAAGGGGAAGGAAAGAGTTGGAAGCTCTCATGGGAGCAGGATAGGGACCTCCTTAGTAGAGGAGTTCGTGGAAATTTCTGCCCTGGACATTTTGAAATAATAAGAGCGGTAATAAGCATGGAATGATCCAGCAATGGAAATGACATATGTTCTGTCCCTGCCCTGCAGAGAGTTCAGGAAAACTCCCCATGGCTGTTCCCTCTCCTACCACTGTCTCAGCTACAGGAATACAGGCTCACACCAGCAGGAGGCTGAGATCAGAGCTGCTTTGGATTTTCCAAGTGTATTCATTTATATTCTGGTTTGGGGGCAGCAAAAAACTCTAAAGAGGGTGATGAGGGTAGAAACAGGTAGAGAAAAAAAAGCAACCTTGGAGAAAAAGGGAACACTCCCTCCTCAATTCATGCTGAGGCAACATGAAGAGAATAGATTCTTGTGTGTGTGTGTGTGTGTGTGTGTGTGTGTGTGAGAGAGAGAGAGAGAGAGAGAGAGAGAGAGAGAGAACTTCTTTTTCTCTGATTATCCAGATAATACCTACTTATTGTAGAATATTTGGAAAGAAGCAGGGGGGGATAATCACCAATAATATTATCTCCCAGAGGCAGCTATTTTACAATTTGACATATTTTTAAGAAAAAAAACCTTTAAGGACGCTTGGGTGGCTCAGTTGGTTAAGCGTCCAACTTTGGCTCAGGTCATAATCTCATGGTTCATGGGTTTGAGCCATGCGTCGGGCTCTGTTCTGACAGCTAGCTCAGAACCTAGAGCCTGTTTGAATTCTTTGTCTCCTTCTTTCTCTGCCCCTCCCCAGTTCACACTCTGTCTCTCAAAAATAAATTAAAAATGCAAACAATTTTTTAAAAAC